TTAAATTAACTACCTCCACCATAAATACCTGATCCAGGATAGTGAATATATTGAATACTACGTGAGGGTATATATATTCGATGGAATTGTGAATAATTTTGTGTTTTTTATTTCCTTCAGAATCGCATGATAAGTATTGTTGAGTCACATGCATGCTAGTATTTTTTGTTCTGTCAGTCTCTCGTATTTTTTTTTTTTTTGTCATTTACTCTTAGTGTTGTTTGTGGGTCATAATATCTAAATGTTTAGTCGCATCGATCGATCTGGTTTTATTTTGCCTATTCAAACTTAACAAATCGAGAGGAACATTCATCTTCGACTTTGTCGAAGTCTGTTAAGGTAGGATCTTTGTGCGACATTTTGTTCTTGTTTGCTGAAATCATGTTAACATGATGATTCATTAAATATATGAGAATAGGCTTACAATGAATTTTTTCGTTCATTTGTATAAGTGTTTATTTTTAATAAAAGCTAAGCACTATTGCATATATGCGGAGTTACACTTGGTCTTCTTCAATCATAGCAAACATTATAACCTTGTTAGACCAAAGAAGCTCGAAGACTTTCAAAACTCAGAATTTATTAAAATATTTTATACATTAACTATCGTTTGATCGGTCGCAGATGTACAGATCGTCCAAGTCTTGACAACGAAGCGCCAGGCCGTTTATTCTGCGATGAAAGAAGCCCTCTAACTTATGAACATTTTTATTATAGCTCAGAAATGAGATAGAGGATGAAGTTGCTCTACGAAGATGATATAATTTTTCTGTGAATTTATATCAGGTTGTTTATTTGCAACAAAAAAAAAACAAAGTGGTACTTAATTGCAATCACCTGCGGAATCGATAATTACATGATGCATATCTTTTATGATGCGGACAGTCATGTATACCGCATGCAACTCTCATGCTGTTCTCTTAACTTAAGCTCGTATATAATGAAGTAAGGAAATTGAATACATTTTAAAATATCGTCTTACATGAAGACATTTAATTATAACAAATTGTTCTTAAATATTGTACTGGTCAGAATCTGCATGCACGACAATGTAACGACGTAATTAAGTTGAGAGTGTAGACAATCATTTAATCTCTGGCCTTAAGAAAAATTTTATATTAGGAACAAATGCAGCCCGCTCGTTAGCGGCGACAATAAAAAAAATTATAATATCATGAATGTCGCAACCGAGCAATTCTGGCCACCCCGGTCCTGGGTGCTGGCATTGATCACTCGTTATATATTTATTGCACACAATTTGAGCGTCCTTTTATATTGAGGACTCACATACGAGACCCTCATTGAATAATGAGACTCATGGAGTTAGAAAATAATCCAGCCACCTTATTGGTCGAGCGTGACACAAAACGCGAGGCGCTGATTGGCCGCGCACTTTAATTAGTTGATAGCGTCATTGGTCGTTATTTCTAATTGCGGGGAGGAGCATATCGTCGAATAATTGATTGAATGCCCCTGTTTTGTGCGTCTGTCATTGCCATGACATACGCTATTTGCCTTGGGACTTAGGAGTAGTTTAGTAGTCATGAACGCTCCCTCATCCCGCGATCGAGATTACAGTAAAGTATTTCAAAGGATCTTTATAGTGCCGCTGCCTTGTAATTCATTGCGCGCCCGCCAACTAGGAAGTAAATCTCGAATAAAGTTAATCACATGGGACGAACACGAAAAAACGGTCAACGATCGCAGAATAACGTTAATTTGCTCAATGAATGCAATATTTTGTTTAATGGAAAGATATTGTAATTAGATTACAAAGAAGGATAGAATTTATATGTGCGATCATGGTGGATTGAAATTGAATTAAAGCATAATATACTATAGCTTCAGCGGTGGTGATATGTACAGTCATTTGCTTACCATCACACGATAAGTACAGTCACTTACTCACCATCACATGATATGTACAGTCACTTAATTACTTACCATCACATGATAAGTACAGTCACTCGATCACTCACCATCACATGATATGTACAGTCACTTACTCACCATCACATGATAATTGCAGTCACTTACTCACCATCACATGATAAGTACAGTCACTTACTCACCATCACATGATAAGTACAGTCACTTACTCACCATCACATGATAAGTACAGTCACTTACACACCATCACACGATAAGTACAGTCACCTTATGACCTTATGACCTTATGATGAGTTTAGGACGTCGTAGTCCAAGGTCACGCTGATGCGCCGCCTTCGTCGTCCTCCGTCTCCGAGTCGTCGTCGGATGTAACGTTGGACGTGTTCCGTCTATTTGCCCTCATTTGGGCCAGCTAAGTACAGTCACTTACTCACCATCACATGATAAGTACTATCACTTAATTACTCACCATCACATTATAAGTACAGTACAGTCACTTACTCACCATCACATGATAAGTACAGTCACTTACTCACCATCACATCATAAGTACTATCACTTAATTACTCACCATCACTCATGATGAGTACAGTCACATAACCTAACATGTTCTCTTCGTAAACTATAAGCCACAATATAAAAATGAATCATTCAGATCGGTTCAAAGTTCATCCACTCATGCACATTCACTCGGCCGTGAACGTAAGAAAAATTATTAATTATTAACCATTGATCATATACATGCAAAACTTCTTCCTTGACTCAAAAACATATTCGGTGATTCGAAAAGAATTAATGTTCAAAGAAATCTTCGATAGAGAAATAAATCATTAAATAAAATGCAATTGATTATGCGAAGTATAGGACCGTTGATTTGCCGCTATATGCGTTAACATTTGTCAGATATACATTTGTCAGAATATTATAATATTATTATAACATTTAAAAAGAGTATCTAATATTTTATTGGCCGGTGTGCCAATAAAATTATAATTATATAAGTATATATAAGTATAATTATATATACGCACGCGAAGAACGATGCCTGCATGGTGCCTCTATGGCACAGTCCCTTAATATTAACCAACGCTTGTTACGTATAGATTCTAGTGATGAAAAAATTATATGAATTATCTTAATAGATAATCTGAATTTTGTAAGTGCATGCTATCTGCAAGTGCAGCACGCCACTGCATGTGTACCATCCACGCGCTGAGGCGCTGCCTATATATAGCGCATTCTTCTTACCCATGATGAATTTCTTTGTTGAAAATAGTTAGCCAACTAATTCTCATCCTATCAGCGGCAATACTCTCTATGATGGAATGCAATTTGCCATCCTATCCCATTAATGCTAACTTTTGCTTAGTGTTTATTCGATAGGTAGAAATATTATTTGCACAAGACATGACCATGCTAGACTCGAATGTGGCCACATACTTGACAATCGAGCTATAAGAATGTGCAGCGTATCTATAAGAGGTGCACCGTATCACCGTATTTTTAACCCAAAATGTACGTGCACCGCATATCTCAACCTAAAAAAACGTTTCGTCTTGTCAAACTTGCTCAGCGAAATAAAATAAGATATATGAACAGTAAATATTTTTAGAATAAGCTTTTTAAGATTACCTTCTAGATGTGAATTTATTCTTGCGTCTCTTACTTTATTTTTTTAATGAGCATTCAAGACAGCAGCACCGATCCTGTCAATCGCACGCAGGCCTCTGTATCTGATCGCTCTTCGATATATTGCGATCTACGTAAAATCGTGATGAAGCACTTTTTAGTTTATCGCTTTGAAAATGATACAAAATTTATCCAATTGTTGACGATATTTAATATTTTTATCAGAATATGGCCGATTTACTTTACTTTTGTTTTGAAACTTAAATTAAAAGCCACTGGCCGGTATTAAATAACTATCGTGCAGTATTTTGAGTATCACAATTTTCCTTGAACCGCACTCTATCTTCTTTAATCTTGCTCTGTGGAAGATAAAATTTATGCCGAATTGTTCGTTCGGTCACTTCTTTGAACATCTTTTTAATATGTACCGGCCTAATTAGGCTTCAAACCATCCTTTTTGTACAGCAACTTCTCACCGAATGAATATTTTGGGAATAAAATAATGAATTCCCTCTCATTTGCCGCACCAGATCGGGCAGATACAGGCCCTGCGTTACAAATAATATAATGAGTATTATATTATAATTTTATATTATGAGTATTATAATTAATAATATAATGAATTCTCTCTCATTTGCCGCACCCGATCGGGCAGATAGACAGGCCCTGCGTTACATTATATGAAGGTTATAATCTCAACCAGCTCAGTCACAGGGCAGGATAATCTCATGTATCGTTTACATGGGGCGTGGCTGGACTTCCAGGCGTGGCCCTATAGGGCCCTGGACCGCCCTAGCAGTTCCGACCACCGCGGGCCTGACGCCACTGTAACCCAGACATTACGTCAACCACCGCTGGCGTCGCTTAACGTCACCGTGCCTTGTCTTAGCTTTTTCCTTAACGCGTGCGCTCAACTCAAATGAACTTTATAAAGTTAAATAATACAGCCATTACTACCTGATTTAAATAAAATTGTGCCTATGTGATGTGCCTTCATTTGGAGTGGGTTATCTACTAACGCGCAGCCGTGGACATAAATCCGCTTAGGTGCTGACTTCGTCCATCCGAGAGAGCATATAAAGCACCTCTGAGAAGAGAATTTTGTGCAAACTATTGATAATAAGAAATGTGACATAAAATTACTTTATCCGATCAGACAATATTTATCTTGAAAGTGACCTCGTATGTTGTTATACTTCTAAACGCCTCTTGTTAAGGTTAGACTTTATTATATTGTGCACTAACAGAACACAGTTTTTATGAACTTCTTCCCATCGAATGTGCCTTCATATAGTAGAAAATGAACAACACTTGAAAGTTGTGAAATAAGTGGATTGTTTGAGGATAACAACTGTCAATAATTTAGGACTATAACGTTCACTTCGTTCAGCTTGAATACTTCTTCGTTGCCACTGGTTTTTGCTGGTTCATGTCATTTTAAGTAGTTTTTGGTCCCATTACGGTGCCTTTACGTTCTGATCTTAAGCCTCACGTCACGTTACTGAAACCTGCCGCAACGTCAAGTCAGTGAAGTATAATTAAAGACTCAGGCAACGTCATTGCAGTTTGTTACGAAACAATTGGGCTATTGCAAGTCAGTTGAAAATTGCAGAAAACGTATAACTCTCGTCAGTCCAAAAAAATAGAACAATCGAAAAATTGCAGGATATTTCCAATAAACAACAATCTGACAATGTCATGTCAGTTGAGTGATGAAGCAATCTGTCAACATCCTGTCAATTGAGTAACAGAATAATTAGATAACTTCAAGTCCAGCAATTACGCTCGCCGCATCGCACTACACGCGCCCCGATAGTTCGATGCTCGTAATGTCTCGCTCGTTCCTCGTGGACTCGCTCATCAGTCCGCGGTCTCCGCCGCTCTCCTCAGCTTCTCACCGCTTGGGGCTAACTTCGAAACCTATTTTCATGGGTCCACAAGCCCCATCAGGCTCCCCTCTACCCCCATGCCCTTTGGGTACACATCACGACGTCCTGTCCCTGTACTCATGCAAGGCCTGCATGCCCTTCTCACCCTTCATGCCACTGCCGGGGTTCGGGGGGGCCTTGTCCCACATGCCGGCGAGTCTTCAGCCCCAGCAACACATCCTACGCCCCGTGCCCGTGTCCAGCATGCCCCTGTATGCCCCCTTCCTGCTGCCCACGACCTGCGCCAGCCTGCGACCTGCCGCCTCACCAGCACGACAAGCCCTGCCCACGGCACCATCACCTCCTCATGAGCCTGGCTCGCCTCCTGCAGGTAAATTAGTACAATAGATACCGGTGATATAGATTAGTACTATGTTAGTACAATATATTAGTACAATGTTAGTACAATAGATTAGTACAATATTAGAACAATATATTGGTACAATGTTAGCACAATATATTAGTACAATAGATTAGTACAATATTAGTACAATAGATTAGTACAATGTTAGTACAATATATTAGCACAATAGATTAGTACAATATTAGTACAATGTTAGTACAATGTATTAGTACAATAGATATCAATGCAATATATTAGTACAATGTTAGTACAATAGATATCAGTGCAATAAATTAGTACAATGTTAGTACAATAAATTAGTATAATAGATAACAATGCATTAAATTTGTACAATGATTATGTTAGTACAATATATTAGTGTAATAGAGATTAATGCAATAGATTAGTATAATGTTAATACAATATATTAGTACAATTAATAGATATCAATGTAATAGAGTAGAAAAATATTAGTACAATAAATTAGTGCAATAGATATCAATGCAATAGATTAGTACAATATTATTACAATATATAAGTGCAATAGATATGTTAAAAGTCATCAATGGGAACTAGCACTCTCATATCATTAGTCGCAATTCTTACTGTCAGGCTTCAGAAAAACATATGAACATCATTTAACCAACAATGATATAAATTTTATAAGTTAAGCATAGAAGTCACGGTTGACAGAAAATTTTATTCATCGGAAAATTTATGTAGTAGGAGAATTATTATCAAAAAATTGCTACTTGATGCAATGGAAGTAACTTCACATTTTTGTTCCTCCACATACAGCTGCCTTCTTTCCCAGAGCCTTCAAAAAATTTTCAGTCAATCTTTTATAGCAATATTTTAGGACTACAAAGTGGTCACCGAAATTTTTCCCCTGCTTTACAAAAATTTAGTCTGAGACGAGCGATCAATTTACTTGGTACTAAAGTTTTGAGAAAATTAAGTTAAAAAAATCCCGGCCAGTGTGTGAGATTTGAAAATGTTGAGGTTTGGATTAACGAATAGTTTGTATATGAACTTTTCATCCGTCTGAATGCGCGAAATAGCCTCAATTAAATGAGTCATGGGCCTTTTCAAGTGCTGATATAAATACTGTGTTTGCTTCAATTATTGAAAACTTAAAGAGGTACACCATTCAACTAGTCAAGGATAATCATGCCAGCACCTCAGTAATAACTTATATAAATATTTGCTCTACTTTGCTCTTAATGAATAAATAATTTTTTTTTAATAATAATAATAATTTTTTTAATAATAATAATTTAAATAATAAATAATTTAGCATTGAAGGCATGGATAAAACCTTTCAATTTACCTTTAGAAGCAAAAGAAGCAATGGTATTAGCAGCTTTGTTCAAGCTTCTAAAGAAAAGTCAGAACGAAATAACTTGACAGTTCAAGTTTGTTGATTGTTATTTCACTCCTGAAAATTGATCTTCCAATGTCATACTTCATTTATTTCGCAGAACCCTGTACCAGATACCATTGAAATTTAATTTAAGAAAAGACATAATTATTTAGAAACAAATATAACAATTATATATGATGTTCGTAAATAAAACAAATAAAAAAACTTTTAAAAAACACGTTTTCTTAACGGACAAAAAATAAAAACTTTTACTCTTACGTAACATTAAAGTTATGTAAAATGTTATGTAATGTTATGTAAGAGTAAATGTTTTTCTTTTTTGTCCGTTAAGAAAACGTGGTTTTTAAAGTTTTTTATTTGTTTTATTTCATCATTTTCAGTTTTGTAAAAACCAGAAAAACGTGTTTTTTTCAATATTTTTATATTTATTTATTTAGGCACGAAACGACGATTGTTCTTTGCCCGATGGACCTCAGATTGATAATGAAGTTGTCTGCTGTCTCGAGACGTCATGTATAGGGGTTTGTTCAATTTCGTATCCACAATACCGGACTATATAAAGTCTGGTCTCAAAATTCGTCTTCGTCATCGATTTTCTTAAAAATTTCGATTGAACTTGTTATCTTTAACCAAAATGGATGTTCTCGAGGCAGGCTATGCTATACCAGTCATAGCATACTCTTCTATGTCTGGCGAAGATATGTCGGACTGGCAATACGCCCATCCTGTCTACGCCACTATCTATCCCAGCTACTGCCGTGCGTAACAGGAACTCACTAGATCTATAGTGAGGCCAAGGCTGAGCCGATGCAAGGCGCCGCCCCCCAAGAGGGGAAAGAGATTCACCGCGTTCTTGCGGTTACTCTTCTGTGGCTGCTGCAGGCCACGCGGCGAGAGCGACGGTGGCCGGTGAATGGTATAAGCACCCAATTCTTGAGGAGTTGGGGCGCTGCCTTCACCTGGCTACTGATTTGCTCTTGGGGGAAGGGAGTTAGGGGGGGGGGAGTCCTTCGGGACCCAAAAAATAAAACATCCTACCTGCTGGAGAGCTGGCTCGGAACCCTTTCCGTGCCTCACCTCTAGTCTTTTTGAAAGCTCCAGTGCTAGCTTTCCTGCCTCTTTTGGAGTTGATTATTCTCGCTAGATGATTTATTGTTGACAGAAAACACAATCAAGCTGTGAGTTTCAAAAAAAGTTCAAGTTGTCTTGGAATTGAGACATTACAGTAACTAGTAGAAATTTTTCGATATTGGCTGGGCAAGATCTGCCCCGAGACTCGGCCTGTCGGGTGGATAGCTAGAGGTCAGCATAGCCCAAGTCCACAGCGCGATTCATATTCCTTCCCGTGCGTAACGCAGCCGGGCATCTTCACGACTTTTGACACAAAGCGCCCACCACAACAGCGCCGTTCAGCCACAGGCCTGGTTCAACAGCGCCGGAGCACAACTGGCCGGAGCGCAACAGGCCCTACCGCAACAGCTACTCCTAACGTAACCTAACCTAACCTGCGCCGCCTGTTGCGGTAGGGCCTGTTGCGCTCCGGCCAGTTGCGCTGCGGCGCTGTGAAGCAGTGGCTGTCTTGTGCAAAGCGGATTTACTGTTAGCCGGAGTTACCCACAGCTCATTGATCTGAGGCTATGTGTAGATATTGCATGCTGATGGTTGGCGTTAGGCACAGGGCCTGTTTACGAGTCAATTTTGTTACCCACGGCTGCGCTCCCTGGATGTTCGAGAAAAAAACTCAATTCCAAACCGTGAATTTTTCGCGTTTTTTTATTTTATTTTTGTTTTTTTCTATTTTTTTTTCAAATTATTATTTCTGATAATCAAATCTTGAATTGTTAGGCAGCATAAGCATGCATGCCAAATTTAAAGTTTCTAGGATGTTCAGAAGAGCTCTAAATTAAGGTCTGAATTTTTGATGACAGAAAGACACGAAACGAAGTCAAGGAAAACGTGGTAATAAAAAAAACTGTTGAAAAACACGTTTTCTTAGCGGACAAAAAAGAAAAACATTTAATCATACATAACATTTAAGTTGTGTAAAATGTTATGTAAGAGTAAATGTTTTTCTTTTTTGTACGTTAAGAAAACGTGTTTTTTTTAAATGTTTTTTATTTGTTTTATTTTATTATTTTTAGTTTTGTAAAGACCAGAAAAACGTGGTTTTTGAAAATATTTTTTATATTTATTTATTTTCTACTTTTTAGTTAGCAATTTTAGCAATTGAAATCAATTTCCAAGGTTGGAAGTGTGGATGTTCGAGAAAAAACTCACTTCTAAACCGTGAATTTTTCGTGTTTTTATATAATTTTTTTTCTAAGAGAAATTTTTATAATTATTATTTCTGATGATCAAATCTTGAATTGTTAGGCAGCATAAGCATGCATGCCAAATTTAAAGTTTCAAGGATGTTCAGAAGAGCTCTAAATTAAGGTCTGAATTTTTGATGGCAGACAGACACGAAACGAAGTCAAGAAAAACGTGGTAATAACATTGTAATTAGTTGTGCTTTGAGTAAACATATCAAGAAAGATCTATCGTCTTCAGTTGATTTCTTGAATAAAAAAACCTAATAATTAAGAGAAGGCACAAGCTCTAGATTGCCAGCGCACTGGTAACTTTTGTATTGTATAATTGCTGCTAAACCTTCACCGTGAAGTGTCAATAGTCCAGTCATTTTCATGTGATTATTAGGCAGAGATTGCCACAGCCACTCCGAGCTTTCTGCCATAGCTTCAATTAAAATAGACATCAGTCTCTCGTGCGAGTCTTTGCCATATCCATCGTTAATGAAAATATAGCATCTTATGGATTAAGTTTTTTCTTCCATAAACCTTATTTAAATACATGATTACAGCACTGAGGATGACCACGCACCATATCCTAGTAGTACCTATTTTTTAAATAAGACATTGTTACTAATAACTAAGCATTTATAAGCCTGCACTGTAAAAAGATCTTTGTTATTGGGCCGCAGGATCTAACAATGCGTCTACAGACGGCAGCGGTTCGGACTAATTTTTTTTAATAAGACATTGTTACTAATTACTAAGCATTTATAAGCCTGCACTGTAAAAAGATCCTTGTTATTTGGCCGCAGGATCTAACAACGCGTCGACTGATGGCAGCGGCTCGGACTAATTTTTTTTAATAAGACATTGTTACTAGTTACTAAGCATTTATAAGCCTGCACTGTAAAAAGATCTTTGTTATTTGGCCGTAGGATCTAACAACGCGTCGACAGACGGCAGCGGCTCGGACGACCTGCCCCTGTCTCTNAACCTGCCTCAGTCTGTCAGAGAAACAGGTTAGTTATTGTTAACTGAGTGACCTCAGCAGGCTCAGGAGGATAGAGATCGCAACCTGCCTCAGTCTGTCTGAAAAACAGGTCGGTCGATCATTGAACACAATTTAAGTATTCGGACCTACATCCTATAATATAGCAAAAAGAAATTATAATGCAAAGTCCTTTATTATTATTGCGAACAATAACATTCGTTTATTTAAAGCAAAAAAGAAACGTTTCAATTTATCGCAATCTGTAAACGAAGAAACATATATAAATTCACTGTACGGCATTGAACTGGTGTTAATTTATTGTCAATTTATTTTTGCAGGTCAAGATTTGGTTCCAGAACCGACGTGTGAAGCACAAGAAGGAAGACACAAACGTGTCCCAAGGCCCCCAACACCCCAAGTGTCACTGTGGCCACGAGGGAGCCTGTTCTCCCGCTTCCAATAACAAGAGCGTGAAGCTCGAGCCTAGGGAGAACAGTGACAGTGATGGCAACGCTCATAAAAATGAAGATGAAATTCCTGAGAAAAATGTAAAGTCTGCTGGTGATGGAGCACAGCTCACTAGACGTGATCCCCCGAAAAGTAGTTCGAAAATAGATCGTCGTGCAAGAAGTCCGAATGATTCATACGGAATTGATGATTCCGCTTTAATTGACTCACCGTTTCGGTTCAAAAACTATGAAAGTGGAACCTTATCAGACGATCAACGTGTTGATATCATCTCAGATTACAATAACTACGGGGGCCACGCAAGCAGGGCTCGTGACGACGGCACTGGTGAACCCGAGACCGAAGTTACCAACAGACCTGACCTAGCTGACAGCACCCGCTCGCTGACGGACAGCCAAACTGACAGCATTTCAGCACGAGATCAATTTTTGAGATCGAATTTCTTCAATCAGAGTGGCTTTAATTTGATCGAAAAATCCCCGTCGCGTTTAGTGGCCATTAAACCCTACCTGAGCGAAAATGCCAGCTCAGCAGCAGCATTAGATTTAGTGTCCAAAAAGAGACCGCCGGTAGCGATTGAAAGCTCATTTTGCGATCATTCCAAAACAACCATCGAAAAGATCATGGATCGATCTCCTTCTGGATCTCTTAGCCCTCGGGATACATCTGAAGTCCATGGCCTGAAGTCTGCACAAGAACTTGTAGGCGTCACTCCTGAAGACGACCAAGCAGATGTCTTGTACCACGGCACCCTCTGGTCTCCAGCAGTCGAGACCAATAAGCGTCTCTGTCAGGACTTGACTCAGGCGACCAACAGTCAGGCCAAAAAAGCCAAACTAAATTTTGCAGCTTCGTAGAGTTTTTCTGATGGTGATTTAAAGTAAGTGAAAACGCAAGGATCACCACGAATAACTTTTTCAAAACACATGGATTTGTTCGGATAAAATTTTCGGGAATGGAATACTTAAGAAGTGCATAATTCTCGTACAAAGCTGGAATTTCTTAAAATTATGGACCAATGACTGGCTAGGCAGCTAGTTAGATGTCATGAAGAAAGTATATTTTAAATTAATGTCAATTGTGAACGATATATATAACCGAATAATGATGAGAATATATTCATATGAATAGCAACTGCTGTGAGTGATTTAGATAGTATTGCACAATTTATGTCATTATTACTACTATCACTGTGCAGGTAAATGAATGCCTGGTTCTTCATTCATTAATTTCTTATCAATCCACATTGAGCTGATGTTCGCCCACGTGACTTGCATTTTCTGATTTCTCTCATGTTGGCTTCAGTTTCATGTTCCTCAAATATGAAATAAAATCCTTCATCGGAGGTTCAAATCACTATGAACACATTAATTTCTAGACTAAAAAGTATTAGAAGGAGGTGGGTGGAGAGTTTAAAGACGCAGCAGAGACTCACTATGCACAATTGATCCCTCAACATAGCGGATTGAATTTTGCCTTGAATTCCTCCCTTTCTTGAGTCCAAACTATATTTGCACGAGTGTAATAATTAAAATTAATAAGGGCTCACAATATGTAGTGAAGCGTATATTAATTACAAGTGCTACGAGATACAAACGTATAGCCGCCTTTATAGTGAGTAACCGTCGGCTGCGGGCTGAGGGCCAGTGTTCAAAAAGTGTACAATAATCACTGTACAATGTAATGTTCGATAATCACTGCACAATGTAATGTTCGATAATCACTGTACAATAATGTAATGTACATGTACATAATGTACATTATGTACATAACATTATGTACATAACATTACATGTACATAATGTAATGTACAATAATCACTGTACAATGTAATGTACAATAATCACTGTACAATGTAATGTACAATAATCACTGTACAATCTACCGGTGATCAGACCGAGTTCCGTGGCTTCTAGTCTTAACGTAATCGTTTGCAACGACGTACCTTTAAAGTGACCTTATGCAAGAAATATCTAAGTATATGTAGCACAACTTGTGATATTTTTTATTCTCCTTGACTGTTTAATAAGAGTTTGATAAAAGTTGGCAACTTCCAACTCAACTCAATAACAGAAGAAATTTGCGAGTCAATGTTGGCACCGCATAGCACTGCAGTGAGCCACGTGCTCTCCACTTGAGTATCAGGACCAACAATCTCAACCCGAGTTCCCAATCAATAATGTTGCAATACTAGTAACTTACACCCTTGTTTGCCATAAATAGATGTATTTAAAATGCTCACTAGAATTTCGTTATTAAGTAGAGCTACTAAAAGGATTGGATCTAAGGTCGGTGAGCCACAGTCTGCGCGACTGGTGTGACCGCCAAAAATAATTTTCCATTGTACCCTATAATTAAAAATATATTTCTGATACAGAACTTTCTATTTATTGAATGGTCTTTATTCTTCATGAACATTAATATATTCTGCAGCTCAAAACAAAAAAAAAGTTTCCGCATCTGGCCTTCGCACGGACAAATATTTGCCTGTGCCAATATAAGGATCATTTGCATGGACGCGTTGAAGTCAAACTTTAAACTTGTGAAGAATTAACAGGTAGCAATTGTTACTGTCATTCGACTTTGGATATTTCCTCAATAATGACTTCTTTGTTGGCGGATAACTTTCTTGATTGGTATATTTTCATGAGATCTTCCTTATCTATATGGTCTATATACCTTCTTCCTACCTACCCGGTATACGTATAGCAACGTATACGTCCTTATGTGACATCAGCTAAACAAAAGCTATATAACGTTATACCCGACCAGGATCTACATTTAGTCTTGGGCCAGGAACAGTAGTGTGTAGCCAATTTCTCCTGTTAATGTTAAAAGGATATTACAGTCCTCTAGTGTCAGAAGAGAGAACGGTAAGCGGATATGTTCAGACTCGACCTTATTAGAGTTGTGTGCCGATGACAGTAGTGTTTAAGCTCCGACATATAAGCCTTTATACCCATAAACTGAAAGCCGAATATAATCTTCAAATAATACTGGATTAATCCTCGCGCTGTGCCTCATTAATCCTCGTAATCACTGTCACATACCGAACCAATAACCATAGGTAATCTCTATAAATATTAAGTCAAGTGTGTGAGAGGAAAAGCATCTTCTTACAGAACCTAATAGGTATAGCCGGACATATGTATGTACAACAGAACATTTTATCAGTAGTATATAATTGGGCACTGTACGCGAAAAAACATTAAAGGTTGTAAGTTATATGTCGATATGTTTGACTGAACATTTTAACAAATTTAATTAATTGGTCTATATATTATGTATTGTATGTATATATAAAAGCGCTTTAGACTAATACGAACAAATTAGTCTAACATAGGCTAGAACTTTTGACAAATATGAAAATAAGACAGAAAGTTTCAAGGCATAGCAGCCATTGGCCCGAATAACTGGAAGATGATTATAAAAATCGGTCATTTATTTGTGGTTAAATTGTACTATCTAACTTCATAATCACCGCTCTCCTTCCTCGCTCCGAATGGCTGCGGAAAGGAAAACCTACTTAAACCTAAATGTCCTAAGCTTGATTAATATTTAAAAAAAATACAAAGACAACGATATTTAAAGAAATCTAGTTAATCATCCTTGATGAGAAATATAGTTTATAGTCCGATTATATTTGAGTTAGTGGCCGAATTTCACAGATGTCATGACTTGCAATATCAGATCCTGCATATATATCAGCTTCTGTGTACAAAAAATATCACGTTTATCGAATTTATGTCAAGAATTATTTACTTCGTGGATGAGTAAGTACGAAAACGTGAACTATGTAATATTTCCTTGAATGTTCCTATAGAGAAGTTAAGTGTGTTCGCTCTGATAGCCGGATCTGAAAATTGCTGATTCTTCTGAATTGCCTTCTTCTGAGCTACCGCGTTCGTAGCGTCGAAGATCTGAACCCAGAACTGTTATTTTTTTTATTTGCAGAAAGTCTACGGGTTATAAACCCATTATTATATTGCCACTTACATGCACGAATTTCAGACGTCATAATTCGATGTAACTAATAATACTAATATAATTTAATTTCAGTTTTTGAGGCATGTGAAACAAATTTTATAACAATAACTTTTCAACAAATGTACTAAATTTTCGACAGCTGATATGCACACTAGAATTTCCTTCGAAATTCTGAGTTGCAGTTATAACAGAAAATTATGGAACATAACTTCAAAAAATGAGTCAAGTCTCAAAAATATATGACATGCATGATAAGAAATTTTAAGATGCGCATTTTAACTGTTGATATGTTGGAAAATTACCCCGCTGGTCCTGCAGTTGAATGTTTTGCTTGGTTTTGGGTTTCCAAGATGATCTCTGAAGTAATAAATTCAGATGTCAATTAAATAATACGGAAGAAGCTCAACAAAACTTAATTTAAAATGTATTAAAATCAATAAATAATACTTCAGAGTCAGAGACTATCTATAAACGGGAGGAAGTCACATTGTCAGGACATTATTTCAAGCCACAGTAAAACTCGATCAATTTATAATAGCTCTGGAAGAGTTTGGCCTTTCCTTAAAGCTCGAAGTATTTGCTATTTTGATATTCAGCGTTAATTGAATATTATTGAATAAGACGCCTGGCTCTAGTAGCGATAATCGTTGGGGCAGCGACTGGCAAGGAAAGTATACCTCGACTTAATCAATGTTTAATAAGTAAAATATTGTAAGTAATATAACATATATAGTGTAAAGTATTATTAAAGTGTAGTGCGCATTATATGTATTAAAAACTAGGGAATAAGGCGAACGTAAACAAACGCATTAGGGAATAGGTCAGTACAATGATATAAAGAACTATGAATTTTGCGTAGCAATGTTTACTTTAACGAATTAACCATAAATTATTCAGTCAATTCATAATATTTTTTCTTGCATCCCTAATTCATGAAATTTGAAGAATAAACGTAGTTAAATTACTATCATGGTTGAAGCCAAGCAATTAAGATGATAAAAACTACCCTGTTAGATAATAAAAATATTTATAACTATCTACATGATGTGAACATAAAATTGAAGACCACAACTTGCTAAATAAGAGAGAAGCCATTTGCAACAAAACCTTTCTCACAGATTACAATTTCTCTTAGATCCTAATTCAATTTAGGTAGTTTCAATTTAACCAAGTCTTTAATTGTGCAGTGCAGATAAATTTTGACGTTACGTAAACGAGCCATAATCCACGGCTAAACAAACTTCTGACAATCTATTTGGAAAATTATTTAGCCAGTATAAAATCGTGAGACTTTCCCCTGCACTACGAGAACCAAGCAATTATCCAATTATTCATTGGCCTGCAATTCATTTCAATGAGAAGCGATCGGTTTGTTTTGAATTTATTGTGCACCCGCGCTGCTCAAGTGGGCGTTTATAAACAAGCACAAACTCTCGAACGCCGCGCATGTCTTTGAGTTGAGGAGCGCGCCGCGTGACGACATTCATACGGCCACGCCACTCGAAATACCTTCCTATTTTTCTTAGCTGCGCTCTGTGTAAATACTCGATCTGTTTTACGGCCCACGGCGTCTTCAATGCGCATGAAAGAGAGAGATTAACCGAGGAAAGTGAGCTTGGATTCTTGATATAATGATATCGATGGCGGCTATTGACGGCAACACGAGGCCAAAACAAAGGGCGGGACCGTCTGTGATAGGCACTCATTATGGCGAGGAGCTTCGACCACTCGAGGCACTGAAGAGGCCATGATAGCCTCTGAGGACACAATAGAGAGCGATGATAGCCTCTGAGGACAATATAGAGAGCGACGTGCTCTCGAGAGCCTCAAGTAATGAGGACGGACACACCGCTCAGGCACGTGACGACTTACTCTTCACAGAGATTACCGTGCGTGAAGAGTAAGTAACTTCACTTACCGTGCAGCGCTCGTTGTCTGCTAAAAATTGATGCAAGGCACCCAATGCGTGTTGGAAAGTTCAGTACTTATCATCAAGATTAGCTTCCCAACGTAAGGGCTTCGCCATAAGCCGGAACCAAGTAGCCAATTAAGCCCAATTAGTCGGAAAGAATTAAGAATACACGTTTGCTTCTCACTACGTACCTTTCAGTTAATGTTAGAAATAAATACCAATTCTCAATAGATTTTGGGAAAATTAATTTTTTAGCATTTCCAGTATAGGATATCGCTCGTGTGAAATCAGCTTCTGCAAGTCCTCTTTTTCTTTATTTTCAATATGTATGAATTTTCGCGAGAATTGTGCTTCCTGTCCTACGATTTGTTCGTTCATCAACGAAAGCAAATTCATGCATCAGTCCGACTCGGTTGAAGCCGAACCTTTAAAACTTATTTACAATTAGAAATTTTTTTACCGTTTACCATAAATCTCTCAAGTTCTATGTTAGCGACAAGTTCTAAGGTTCATCACTTGTAATCTATTTCCTACTATTTCAATTTTTGAAAATTCCATCAAAATTTGATTTCTTTCAAGGTTTTTGAAGTTTATTTTCACGTCTCACTGAATTTTTATGACTCCAATCCAATATGTATTCAATTGGTTTAAACAACAAAATATCAGAATAGTTAATTATAACAGAGGGTTGGTGCTACCTTAGGTATGAATTATATAGGACTCCTGAAGGCAGGCGACTGTAGTGAGCGGTAGGTATGTATAATTCTCTCTAGCTTTTCAGAGATGTGAAATAACTTGACATTGTCTCAGGCAATTAGT